AAGAGATCAAGGTCCCCACAGTGAGGGAAGAAATGGGGTGGGGGCACTGCCCTGCCAGGGCAGTCAGTGGGACCCTGAGCCCAGGGCAAGGAGCAGGACAGAACTGCAGGCAGCTCATCCAGTGAGTGCAGGGGGGAGGGGAGGAAGCTCCCCGCCACTGCACACACCCCAGGGGGGCTGTCTGCTGTGGGCACAGGACTTTCTGCCCTGCTGCCTTTTGCCTCAGGAGACGCACGCTCGCCTGGCGTCCCCTGCCTATCTGGCGGCAGTGGGGGTGGTGAGTTGTGCCTCCTGCCACCAAGCAGGCGGGGTACAGAGAGAGGACAGCATGTGGCTCCCAGTGCAAAAACAGCAGGTTGGAGAGCCCAGAGCCAGCAGCCTGCCTCTGCCCTGCACACAAATCTGGGGGGCATATGCATCCCTGCACTTAAAAATGGTGGTGTTGGTGCCTGAACTAAAGCTAATTTGATGTCCTCATGCCCCTTCCCCTCCAGACTTACCTGCAGGGAGCTGCTCTCCACGACATCCAGCTATGCCCCTGTAAATCAGCTATTGGATCAATATCGGCCAATATGGTTAATAGATAATCAGCTGTTGGTACTGGCCAAGAAAATCTCTATCAGTGCAATCCTAGTAATTGACATTAATTGCATCAGAGCAGCGCAGTCTATTACCACCTTTCGTTGTGCCACCAATTTTCTTTTCATGTGGAACAACAACGGGTATCAGCGCTTAATTGCTCAGCATTTGTGCTGCCATAAAAAAATTTATGACAGTGCAAATGAGATATCAGGTGACATCTGTTGCCACCCGCACTGGTGTAATTACTTGGTCCTAGTGTTGCTTTAAGTTAATTGTTTGTATGTTGGTAGAGGCCTAAACCATCTGATAATCAAACTTCATACTGTTGTAGTTTATTTACCTATGTAATTCTAAATTAGCAATCTTGTTAATAAATTAATAATAACTCTCTCTCAGGCCTTGACAAACATTGGTCTCCTAGGTTTGGAGATCCAATTTCCAAAGTCAGGGAGCCCAAGCTCTCCTGCCTTTTAGAATTTTGTGTTTTTTCCCCCCAAAGGTGTTGCACAAGAAAGACGGATACATAAACAATTGTTAAGCCAGATGCTCTGGAAAGTTTTCTCCCCCTTCTTGTTCACCATATTTGTCCCAGGCAGGTTCCTGAGGTATACTGTAACTTTATTATGCTAGTGAGTATTGCGCACCTTTGAATTTCACTTTTATGAAAAAAATATTGCAGAATTTTCCTTTTCCCACCAATTGAAGGAGAAATCTGCCTTGTGACAGTGTCCAGCTTTATTATTCTCCTCCTGAGAAAGCAATTTTTTTGATGACTTTGTGATTATTGGGGGGGGGGGGTTCTGCACAGGATAACTTACACAGGGATCTATATTAGTATAATTATGCTGGTAAACATGCTCCAAGACAGGATGTGAATGTTTTCTAAGTGTAAAAGTTACGGCGTATGGTAGCACCAGATCATGAAGGTTAATAAAGCTAAGTAACATAGTACGTTACATTAAGATTGTTTGGTGATGCATTTCACAGCTACACATTCAAACTTAACCTCACATATTAAAGTGACCGTGAAGAATTTCTCAGTGTAACTCAGTTTCACATTTTTTTTCTAGAACCTGACAGATAGAGGCAGGTAACTTGTTGGGTTTTTTTTTTAATTTCCTACTTGTGTCAGTTCCATAGTCGAGCCACTCTGAACACTCTCTGACTTTGGTTTTATCTCTGGGCTATTTGTTCCAAGGATGCCGGCCCTGATTTTGCGAGCAGAAGTACCTGCCCAGAGCTCTCAGTAGTGGGATCACCAAGAGCGCCATCAGTACCACACTCAGCACCAGGGCCCTGCAGTCTTTTTGAAACCAGCAAAGCAGCCCCCCCCATGAAATTCAGTGAGCAGTTGCCTCAGCCAGCCCTGTTTCCCACATGGTGCAGGCAGTGAACAGAGGAACATACAAGAACTGCCGTGTACTGGGTCAGCCCATGAGTCCATCCTGCCCAGTTTCCTGCATCACACATGGACAGCATTTCACTGGGAAGCGCCCACCGGCTCCTCGGACTCGTTTCCCTTCTCGGCGCAGTAGTCTGACCAGCACCCCCATCCCTATTTTTGTTATTTGTCCCCAGTAATCAACTCTCACCTTTTTTGCAGCCTCCCGGGGCAGGGGAGACCAGTAGGTTACTCGGGGGATCAGGCCCAGGTGACGGACGGCCGGTCCCGCAGGGGCAGTCTCCCTGGCGGGGCCCAGAGCTGTCCGGGCGCGCTCCGCTCCCCGCCCAGCACTCGTGACTGACTGACCTCGGACCCCCGCGCCCGTCCCGGGCTGTTATCACTAGTCCCGAGGGGCCAGCTGCCGCTTCCCCTGTGGCCGTCCTTTCGGGGTGCGGCTTATAGTTTCCCGCGGTGGCTGAAGCCTTTGGCCCACGGAGCCCCAAGGGGCAAATAACGCCACCCGGCACCAGTTCACTGGGCGGCGCCCGCTGGCTCCCGCACTCACCGAGGGCCATGGGGCACCGTGTCCCCCGCTGCCTCCCCGCCCCGCCAGCCGGACCCCCGGGCGCTGCTGCCACCGGCTCCCCGCGCCCCCCTCTCACCTCCTCCTGCACCGACGCCATGTCTCGGAGCGGCCCGGCGCACCGCGCGCTGGCTCCGCCGGGGGAGGGAAGAGGCGCGCTCGCCGCATTGACTCAGCCCCGCGGCTGCTCCGCCCTCGCTCCTCCCCTCCCCGCTCTGGAACTTTCCCGATAGCCCCACCCTTTAGTTACACGCCACTGGAGGAGCCGGCGGGGACTTGCCCCCTAGCGACGAGATCTGCATAAGCCCCGCCCCTCCTCTCGCGGCACTCTACCGGAACAACCATAGAGGTGGTAGCCGAGCTAGAAGGTCCTGGCGCAGGAATCCATCAGCCCCTCTCACTCCAGGCGGGTTGTAGGAGTAGGCGGGGCAACCGTGTTTCCGTGGAAACGGAGGAGCCGGTGCGGTGCTACCAGCCCTGCGGGCGGGCTTGGAGTCCTTGGGCGCGGCGCTTGCGGGGGCAGCGGTGGTGCTGGGCGCGGTAATTACCATATTTGTGCAATAATATCAACCCTTGCACGATGTACAATCAATAATAGTGAACGTGTCCGAAATGTACACTGATGTTTGAGGCAACTCCTGGATGCAGCGTGGGCAAAACTCTCAGGGAATCTTTGCTGACTTTTGGGCTTGCTGTCAACACGGCCTTATGACTGCGTGCCTCCAAATAAAGGCAGCCCCTTCGAGGACCGGGTTCTTGCTCACTGGCACTGGCACCAACACTGAACAACAGAAAGTAAATAAGACTTGTTTGCATATTTTTCAGTGTACAGTAGTTTTTCAGCAAATGTGATAATTTTGAGGTTCGAATAGGATAACTTCATATTTAAGACCTGGCAACACTGGGGTGCTCAGGCACGTTACTTCACCTGGTCGCAGGGTCAGAGGGGGCCCACGGGGCTACTGGAGCGTGACCCGCAGCTGAACTAGGGTCCAGGGCCTGCTGGGTGTGGCCATCGGCCTCAGCGTGCCAGCGAGGGCTGTGCTGTCCAGACCCGCTCAGAGTCCAGGGGAGTTTGGTGCCCCAGCCATTAGACTATATTAACTCGAATACAGGATGGCCCTCCAATACTTATATGCTGTATATGAGAAGTGTATCGAGTTGTATAGTTTTCTAGGTAAAGAATTTAAGTACTGGAGGGTTTCTTGAATCCCCTCCGCCCCACTACTACATCAGCCTGAAGCAGTGGCTGGCAGCATCAGGAAGTGGTTGCGAGTCTGACTCTGGCCCTGATCTGGGCTCAAGGCCAGAGTTAGACCCACAGCAGGCTCCTGCTCCCCCTCTGCTTCATATGTGAATATGAGGTTCAAGGCTTTTTTTTCCCCCATGCTGATGGTGGGGGGACACCTCATCTTATATTTGATTAAATACAGTAAGTGTTTGGGGACTGAGCTTTAGCCGGTCAATGCATTCCCAATCTGTACCCCACCAGGAGCCGTTGGGGTACAATGGGAGCACAAGTATAAATTCTTTCAAATGTCTGCACTGTACCGCAAGGGGATGCTTCTGTTAGCCCTGAAAACTCTCAGAAGCCAATGGGATTCAATTGTCCCTGAGGATAGAAAGGAAACAAAGCACTGTCCATATAAGAAGGAAGGCACTTCTCTCTGTCACATGTTTATCCTGTGGGAGGGACTTAACCTGTTCCATATAACTATCAGTTTTCAGTTTATACTGCCTTGGCCCATGGTCAAGGGAAATTATTTAAGTTGTCTGACAACTAACCCTTAGGCACACCTCGTAGGAAAAAAAGAAAAATCTTTTAATCGACTCCAGGGCCAGAGGAGCTTGGACAGTGAAACTGTTTCATCTGTGATAAGCAAAACTCCCACCCATGTAAACTAAGAGCTTTCTCCATACAGAAGTTAAAAAGGAGCGAGGCCCAGATAGACATTGTTTGTGACAAGTGAACTGAATGCCCTTATTTCTTTCTGCCCTTTCCTGATCTTGGCCACTGTTTGACTACAGAGGGTTAAAAAAAAAGAAGTTGTCTAAAATCTATACTAGTCCTTTCTAGTTAGTCCTGGAGACTATCTAATAGAGTAAAAAAAAAAACATTGCAGATCAAAGGCCATATAATATTTTCCCCTCTTGAGCAGCCATTGCCTACAAATCAAATGAGAGGACAAAACAGCAGTAGCAGTACAGCCATTCCTGAAACTGGCTTTTTTGTTTGCGAATATATTTAACAATTCCTGTTATCTCCCTAGGAAATATTTAGTATAGTTTTTAAAAGCCATATCTAAGATGCTAATTGGGCAATAAATCTCAGGATCACATTATCATTTCTCTGGACTTTTTATTAGTAAATCATTTTGCTAACACAATTAATTTTATCCTTACTTCCTGAAAGATGAAATAACATTATAAATGTCAGGAAAAGGTCTCTCTCCCCAGCATGCCTAGAGATAAGGACTTTGGTATTTACCTTAATCTCACCATAGTGTATTGCTACCAACTTCCAAATAAGAGACTATTTTTTTCTCTGGTTCCAAAAGTTAAAATGCCTTCTAAAAGGTCTTATCACAGTATAGCATTTCTTATTCACCGTTTTTAAATATTCCTTTTTAAAATATCTACTGTCTTAATAGAATCAGGGGAGCCATTATGTCAAAGAGTTTTTGCCATAATATGAAGCCATTTCTTACAACCGAAGCAACTAAAATGGTATATATTTTTTATTCTTTAAAAGATAATAAATACCCCTTTGTAGTCTGTATTTTTTTAATTATCTTAATAAATAGCATGTAGATTTACTCTGGATCATCAAGGTACAAAACTGGGATGGCTCTGTTATTTTTTAGACTTAGCTAAAGGATTCCACTTAATTCACTGAGTTTTCAAAAATCCTGAATAAGACACAATCTCCCCAAATCCCTCCAGAATAAAGCTTCTGAAGAGTAGAAATGTACTTGTAGGGATTGGTGATTGCTGTCCGAGTAAAGACCGGCAGTAAGAAATTAGAGAAACAATATTGCAATGGCCATATAATCAAGCACATTTCCCCCACTACAAAAAGTGATTGTAAGATGACCCTCGCAATCATTGCATCCTCTGTACTTCAAGACCTCCAACAACAAGAATCCTTATAAAACTACACCTGATGCATTTCTCACATTTGTACTTAGAATATATGGGAAAAAGTGGAAGTATCATCCCACTAACCAACCTGAAGGAAGAATTAAACCACGTCAGATGGAAATTTTCTATACATAGATAAAGGAGGAAGCTCTGCCGGTGAAAATCATTATGGATAGTGGAGTTCCAAGGGAGAAATAAACAAGGGTAATACAAAGGCTGGATGCAGAAAAATAATACTGTACTGCTGTAAGGAGAGGTTTGCCGGGTATTAGCTTGCTTAAATTTAGTAGATTCAAGAAGAGCCAGAACACTTGACAGTCTGACTGGTTTTATGAATGGTACATTGAAAAAAAGGGACTTAAAGCCTGACAAATAAAACACTAAGTCATTAGAAAGCTAAGTTTCTTGGGGGAATACCAGATCAAGTTGAAATAACTAAATCCTAATGTCCAAATTCTGGGATTGACTTGTAAGGATAGCAGTGTTCCATAGAGCAGTTTTAATAGATTCTCAATCACACCTGACCCATCAATCCATATTCTTTTTTTAAGTCTTCAGTTGAATTGTCATAACAAAAACTACACTGTTAACGTTGTGATTAATCTTACCACTATCACCAACAATGCCTCCAAAAAATCCTTTGCATTAAATGTTCGCTGCACAAACACCAGCATCATTGAAGCTAATGTTACCAGCATAGTCTGTGAGCCACAAGGACTGACTTCTCTGGAGCGGACAGGATATCGTATGCAGATGCGCAACTTGCAGCTTCCAAAACAAGTGCCCTATTCCTAGCTTAGTTGCAGCCTGAAATCTCACAGTTGCCAGAGAAAATGCCATAAGGACACAGAAGGCATCCCTCAAGAAAACATCTGAACTAGGGACAGACGTTCAAAAAAACCTGAACCTGAATTGATTCAGTCTTTGCAATTTGTCTAACCTGCAGAGTGAACTGGTTTGTAAATGGATAGACACGCAGCACATGCCTGCAGTGGCTCAAGCCAGAAGCCCTGGGGCGCTACAGCAGCCCTCCCTCCCTTCCATAGGGAAGGTGAGCTGAAGAGAGGGCATGGCCAGGCCCCGGCAGGCCCACTGCAGTGGCTTCCTGACAGCCAGGAGCAATCTGGGCGCACAGCGCTGCCCAGTCCCAGAGAGGAGCTCTTCCCCCTCCTCCCTCTCTCTGGCCACCGCACGGCAGGAGGGGGGCCCCGTTTGGTGCTGGGGGGGCTCTTCTCCCTTCTCTCCGGGGTGGGGAGGGGGGCTCTGTGAGACTGCCTGACCCCAGAGGGGACTCTTCCCCCTGCTTCTCCCCCATTGTTGGTGGGGGAGGCTCTATGGGAGGTTGCCCAGCCCCAGAGGGAGACTCTTCCTTTCACTCCTTCCCCCTCCAGGGCAGGGGGAGGCTCTGTTCCATGTTGGGGGGAACTCTTCCCCCTCCTCTCCCCCCAGAGGGGCAGCAGGAGCCCGGAGCTCAACTGGGCAGGGTGTGCACCTGGGCAGAGCCTGCAGCTGCAGCCCCAGCAGCGGGGGAGGCAGCCCGCTGTCTCCCCCGCTCGCGGCTGCGCAGTCCTCACACTGAGAGGAGTGGAGGGAGCCCTGCTCCTGCTTCCCGAAGGCCAGCGCGGGGCTTCCCTGCTGCGAGTGTGCAGCTGCAGGCGCCCAACGTGGAGCCCCAGGGATAGGGGCAGCCAGCGCTGCACGGGGGCAAGGAGCACAGCCCCGGGCAGTCTGTCCGGCTGCCCCTACAGCTCCACTCTCGCAGCAGGGAAGCCCCGCGCTGGACAGCAGGCTCCAGTGCAAGGTTTCCCGCGCTGCCAGGGCTGGAGTTACAGGCGCAGGGAGCAGAGCCTCGGGGATAAGGTAGGCTGCACTCCCTGCTCTGCGCCTGCATCAGGCACGTACCTGCCAGGCAGCGGGGGCTGCGCGCCCCGGGGAGAGTGTGTGTCCCTACGCTGCGCAACCCCTGCCCAGCTGAGCTCTGCGCTCCCGCTGCCCCTGTGGAGGGAGGAAGAGGAGGGGGAAGAGTGCCCCCAGCACGGAACAGCCCCTCCCCCGCCAGCTGCAGGGGCCAC